GATGGATGGATGGATGGATGGATGGATGGATGGATGGATGTGTGGATAGATGAATGGATGGATGGATGGATGGATGGATGGATGGATGGATGGATGGATGAATGGATGGATGGATGGATGAATGGATGGATGGATGGATGGATGGATGAATGGATGGATGGATGGATGAATGGGTGGATGGATGTATGTATGGATGGATCAAGGTGGAATCTTCTACTGCTAACGCGCCGCATCGTACGGACAGGTGCTACGCTAGCGGAGTCGTCGGCATCGACGTCGGCAAACTGCTGCCGACGCAGCCTCGCTTCCCCGTGTCTCAAGGAACGCCGATGCTGGGCCCGCTCGTCACGTGGGACCACTCGCAGACGTGGGCCGTGCCGACACAGGATGAGATCCTCGCGTGAGTATCGACGTCGGGCGTAGCGTAAGATCCTTATTCCCCCATGACGAACTTACCCCCTTATACGTTGCGCATGCGCAGATAAAAGTCGAGATCGCACCCAGTTGCGCCAAGCGCCCTGCTATACACGCCCACATAGAGATATATGTATATATATATATATATATGCTTATATCTATAAATATCTATAAGAGGTAAGTTGGATCTATGTAAGCAGAACAGGTCGTCCTGGCACCGTATGCTAAGTTCTATCGTTTTAGCAACAATGACAATGGCTGTACGTTTGAGATTGACCTTTCGGCGACCTCGCCCGACCGCTACCTGCTGGGTCACGTGATCGACGGCGAGGCGCTGTTTCCGGCGACCGGTTACCTGGTGCTGGTGTGGCGAGCGTTCGCCGCGATGCGGCGGCAGTCGCACGAGAGCATGACCGTGCAGTTCCACGATATCGACATCCAGAGGGCAGCAGTGATGCACGCCGACGGTAGGTGGCGCGCCGAGTTCGTTGTTCACGGGGTCTAGCACATATATCAAGTCAAAGGTGAAGTAAATCAACCGTTAATATAACTGTAAAATATATGTGAGACTCCCCCGCATGGGAGGTACGGAGATGCTTTCTTGCGGGGAGTGCTGGAATTTCAGACGTTGGCACCGACTGAAAAAAACCGCTTATAATTTCATACAGTTTTACAGGGAAGCGGGATTTTAATCTTAAGAGGTTTTGGCTCTGTTTTATTATTACAATAGAGACAATTGGCTTCATATTTTTTATAGAAATCTACTCCTGAGTATATCCACTTGTTTTTGAATATATAAATGTGACCATGCACACGTGGCCCGGGCCCGCCCGCCGCAGTCCAGTTTGAACGTATTAGATCGGCCGAAGAAACTTCTCTTGGATGTCCACGGCGGCGAGCGACATGTACATTAACATATATTTCTCGATATTCCACCAGCCATCCCACCAGCCATCCCACCAGCTATCCCACCAGCTATCCCACCAACTATCCCACCAGCTATCCCACCAGCTATCCCACCAGCTATCCCACCAGCTATCCCACCAGCTATCCCACCAGCTATCCCACCAGCTATCCCACCAGCCATCCCACCAGCTATATCCACCGCTATGCCAACGCAATATTATGTACATTAGCATATTATATCCGTCGCTATCTCACCAGATAAGCGGACGCTTGGAGTCAACATTATGCAGCCGACCGGTGACTTCGAGGTGACAGAGGAAGACACGCTGCTCGCCAGGGGGCGCATCACGGCGCACGACGTCATCGACGTTCCTGAGCCGCTGACGTTGAAAGGTCACGTGACGCCGCTGCCGCTGCGCGCCGACGGCGTGTATAGGGAGCTGCGCATGCGCGGCTACGACTACAGCGGCGCCTTTCGGACGATCGTTGAGACGTCGCTCGACGGTAGGCGAACGGTAACGTGACAACGTTTGGAGAGGGAGGTGGGGTGGGGTCGCATCCTGATGGGATAGGGCAGCCATGGTGGAATATCTACTGTTTTCCCGTGGGTATAGGTTTTCATGTGTGAGTGTGTGTCGCTTCTTCTTCTTTTTTCTTTTTCTTCTTCTTACCCTTGCTCTTCTTTTTTCTCTTCTTCTTTTTCTTCTTCTTCTTCTTCTCCTCCTCCTCCTCCTATTCTTCTTCTTCTTCCTCCTTTTCTTCTTCTTGATCATCTTCCTTCTATTTTTTTTCTTCTTCCTCTTCATCATCATCATCATCATCATCATCATCATCATCATCATCATCATCATCATCATCATCATCATCATCATCATCATCATCATCATCATCATCATCATCATCATCATCATCATCATCATCATCATAATCATCATCATCATTATCATCATCATCATCATTATCGTCTTCGTCTTCTTGTTCTTCTTCAGTTACGGAGGCGAAGCTGGCGTGGACGGGTAACTGGGTGGCGTTTCTTGACAGCCTCCTACAGCTGAGCGTGATGAGTGAGACCACGCGTGCGCTCCGCCTACCAACCCGCATCCAGAGCTTCAAGATCAACCCAGCACTGCAGCTGCAGCGACTACAGCGCATCGGCGACACACCAGGTGGCAGCACTGTACCGTATAAACTACCCGACAAACCTATATTCACGAGGATTGGCCGTTAAATATTAAATGTTTAGCAGTGTGAGCGCGAGCGGGAACACGCAGTGTTGGGCATGACTGTTTTCACGTTTTCAACTTTATTTGCATGTAGTCAATCCGTAAACGTGAATCGGTAGTGAAATGCTTCTCTTTATGTTACCGACTTCCTATCTACTTCCGCGACTAGTTGCTGGAGCGGAATTCGGTTCTTAATCGGCCAATTTGCTTGGAAATCGCTATTGTTTACGATGTATATTGGTGCGATCATGCCGATTCGACATTTTCCTATCATTTGATTCGTTATAATTACAATCATTTATTTATTATATATCATTTATCGATTAAAATTATATCAGATGAAGAGATTCGATTAATACAGACAATACATTAGATAATATCTTATTGTAACTCATCCGTATCTTCTCGCTTCCGTCTAGTTCTATACGCTCACGTCGATCACGTGATCCGCAAGTGCACGGCAGGTGGCGCTGAGATCACGGGGCTGCACACGATCGTCGCACCACGGCGCCACCGTCAGCACGACCGGCCGACGCTGGAGCGCTACGTCTTCGCGCCGTACGTCGATGACGTCACCGACGCCGCGCTGCGCGCCTACGTCAGCGGCTGCGAGCGAGCGTGCTGCCGCATAGTGAGCAGTCTCGCCTCCCCCTCCTCCCCCTCTTCCTCCGCCGCTGCCATTCCCGACCCCCGCCTCCTCGCCGAGATATGCGCCCGCACGCGCTCCGATGACCCCGAGGTCAAGGTCGCGACCGCGCCGACGCCAGCGCCACCTGCATCGACGCCAGCGCCACCTGCGCTGTTGCGCTCCGCTCTCGAGATGCTAGACAAGGTCGTCGCCGCAGGGTTGCACGGCGTCGTCGACGCAATGCGGACGTCCGCACGAGACGCCGCCGATGCTCTCCACCAGGTGGCGTTCTCCGGGCACAGCCTGAAGATAGTCGTCGACGTCGCCGTCGAGAATCTGAACGTCTGGTCAAGGTCGCGGGTCAAGGTCGTAGAGGTCGTCGATCCCGGCGAGCAGCGCCACCTGTCGGCGGAAGTCGAGCCGGACGAGAAGCGCCACCTGGCGGCGGAGGTCGCGGCGATGATGGAGGCGACGGTCGACGTCGAGCTGGTCGTCTGCGGCGACGACGACGACGGTGGCGCGGCCGCGTGGCACGTTGTCGTCGGCAGCAACGCCGAGCTCGTCGTTCTCGACAACGTGCTGCACGGGAGGAGCGACGCGCGCGCCACCCTCCAGAGGGCGCTGGCATGCGTCGCCGACGGCGGCTTCCTGCTCGTCGCCGAGCGAGCACCGGACTTCCTGTTGGCGTTCGACGCGATGACGTCACGGGAGGCGCCCCTACTCGCTGCCGACGCGTGGAGAGAGGTGTTCGTGGAGGAGGGGCTGGAGGTGGCTGCCGAGAGGTCGCATGCGAGGATCGGAGCTCTGTTTCTGCTGAGGAGGAGGAGGGGGAGGGGAAGAGAGGGGGAAGGAGAGGGGGAGGGGGAGGAGCCTCGTGTGGTGAGCGTGGATGCGCAGGACTTCAGCTGAAATAACGTGTTAAACGTGTTAATAATGTGTTACACGAGTGCAATAACGTGCTAAACGAGTTAATAACGTGTTAAACAAGTTAATAACGTGTTAAACGAGTTAATAACGTGTTAAACGAGTTAATAACATATTAAACGAGTGCAATAACGTGTTAATAACGTAATCAGGAAGTCTTTTTCTCAGCAGTGAGCTACTCACCAGACAGCGATATACATATAGAGGAGTAATTATCTGATAGTGTTACATAAGAATGTTTCATTTATTTCGCGTGCAGTGTCGTGTGCAGATAACTTCGTATCGAAGTGAGCGTCTCTCCCTTTTTCCCGTGGTTCGTTCGATCGTTCGCCGTTCGTTCCAGATAATCGGGGAACCGAAGCGAAGGACTGCGACGTGGATAAGCACGTCCATTCCAGAGAGCCGCTGGGATTCCGACCTGGCTCAGTTGTCATCCGCTGACTACTTCGTTAATAACTTAGTACGTGCAGCACGACTGTTCCTGCTGCTGCTGATGCGACTGTGACTACTACACGCATGAGTCGAGTCTTCTTTCATACGTGGTGTATTTTCAGCATTATATATATATATCTTGATATATATATATATATACGTGTGCGTAGTGTGTGTGTGTGTGTGTGTGTGTGTGTGTGTGTGTAGGGCGGTTTTCAGTCCCACACAGACTCACCCACGATCACACAGCACAACACCACACACACAACACACACACACACCCACACACACACACACACACACAGACAACGCACCACGCACAGCATACGCCACGCCACGCAACACACACACACACCACACACACATACACCAGGCACGGCAACAAGCACACAGCACACGCTCTAAACAACGCCAGTCTAAGTTCACTTACAATGAAACGCAAGCGTCGATGCAGGCATAGGAAGTGAGGAATTTCATCGACGAGTTGACGAACATCATTTAATGCTAGCGTATCATCGCTGCAATGCTATACGAGATCATACAGATAAATTGCTTTCAAACGTAGAATGTACGCTCGTATCGTAAAAACTAAATAAAATGTCAATTTATTCGCGGAAATCTCCTAACTCTTCTGCATATAGACTCCGTGATATATTCAGCAGTGGCATTCCTGTAATGTAATTCGCGTCGCTGTTATTCCCGTTAATGTATTTCCCGTAAAATATTCCTGCTAATTCGTATTCCCTGAAAGTATCCTGTAATGGATTTCTGTAATTGCATTCCAGTCGTGAATTGTTACTCGGTATTCCTTCCCGTAGTCGGTATTCCCATAATCCATTATAAATGTATTCCTGTATTGATTTTCTATAATGTATTCCTGTAATGTATTTCCGCATTGTGGTTCTCATCATTGTATTTCGGCGTAATGTATTCTGGTATAATATTGTAATATTATCCGCCATTAGTTGTGCCAGGCTGTCATTTTATAATGCATGGAACTACGTAGCATAATGGATACGCCTGCTAAGCAACCTTGAATCACGTAAATAACACAAGGGTGTATAGCAAGTGATACCAGCACAATGCAGTTAGCAGCGAAACGCGACGTTAACGCGTGACATGTTCTAAAACGTCGCTGTGAAGTTATCGCGCGGCAAACATAGTATCACTTTGACGTGCCACCGGGGAGATTTCTTTTGCGGTACTTATATGGGATTTACAGTAGGCTATAATAGTACACGCTTCGATCATGTGTGTGGTGCAAGTTGGACGACAACGGAGACATTGGTAACGCCTATACCTGCCAACGCGATCTTTAGTCTGTTACAGTATGAAATCCGCCATAGTTGGCTGCTTATAACTGTTTCCCCTGGTGACTGACTTTATTCAAAAGACCTCTCTGTAGTGGTATCAAATGGCAACCTTACTAATAACTCAGAATCGTTCTGTTTTCTTGCAGTGTAGCTGCATAAGACCAATAGAGGATACGTCAGCGAATCACATCGCCGACCTTTTTGACAAGATTTAAATTTTATTGCGGATTCGCGTTCAAAGTCAGTAGTTCCCTTATGCATGAATTGAAACGCTATAGGCAATCGAAAAGTCAAGTGAAGCTACTGCGTACAAATGTTTACTGGCTTATTTTTGAGATTTGTAATTTCAACAATATTCTTAGTTTTATTTAGTAGATCTTGGTATGATTATGGACATGCGAAGAACGCGAGTTGTCCATTATTATTATTAGAGAGAACGGTGGGTAGGCTACATGTGGCTTATTTAGGCTAATCCTAAAATGGGCCAAGTAAATGCTATTCATCCAATTGGATAAAATGCGCCCGGAGATGCCCAGATGCATACGGAGATAGCATACTTAAGCACCTAGCAGTTACCTTTAAATATTATTAGTGTTGTGTCAGCCAGCGCTCCTCTGTCATTATCAAACGGGTGGCTTTGAATTATATTTTTTTATGTTAAGCACTGCGCGGAGTAGCTGCTCTCAATTTTAAGCGTAAATTCCCAAAAAGTGATTTTATAAAAGGGCATTGCGGTACACAGATCTTCATGCGCGAAGCTACAGCGAGTAGTAGCATCGCTCTTCGTTTTTATAACGTATACTTATTATAGCTTATAAAACAAAAACCGTTGTTTTATTGGCAGATACAGACGTGTGCCGTGAAAGTAGACGTGGTCACGCTAAGTTCTGCACTGGAATCTGGTTTAGAATAATTCAGCACAACAGACGATTATTTAAGAAACTGGTAAATGTGTCTTCTCTCTTTATCAAAAGCATGAATTTTTGCAAAGGCTTGTCAATACCAATAGGCCGCCTAGCTGTCCATAATATACGTATTATATACAGACAGCTCAGTGTTGATCTTAAATGATCTGTACACAAATGAATGAAAAGTGCAAAATAAACTAAATCTGAATCTGAACTCTGTTGCCAACTATACAGTATGTACATGGCACATTAAATATACATCGTGCACGGCTAGGGGCTCCTTATCAATTATCAAAACGGTGTCATCGCGTTGTAAAGCTACTGCGAGGAGTAGTATAAACGCCCTTTCCATTTTACATTATTTTATTTTATTTGGCAGATAATGCGTGGCAGCTGCAATTTAATAACGACTACGCAGCTTATATAGCGCAACTGCATTCACTTTTCACTTTATAGTAATTGACTTTCAATAATTCTATAATCTCAACACCCATGTTGTTCTATTTGACGGATACTAGGCGCATTTATCCCGTTTTTCATACAATTGAAAATTTGGTACGCTACCTAAGGATTATTAGAAAGGCCCTAATGAATATGTGCTCCTAAATTCAAAAGCACACCATTTCAGCGAAATAACATTTCAATTCATTTAAAGCCGCACTACTGCCCATCAAACGCTAATTTCCTCCAGTAGCTAGACTAGCAATACTTCGTGTATGCATAATCACACTGAATACCGATATGAACAAAATAAACTCTAGTTGCTCCATTTCCACTGCGCGTTTGCTTAAACCCCCAAGAAAGAGTGAGAAAACTGGCATTCTGGGCTCAAACGCCCACGACTGTTTGCCAAGCATTTAAGGCGCTCGAAGTGTGAAGGTGACGTCACAAATGTTTTTCCAATAATCAACCTCCGCACCGTCCACACGGGACAAACATCACAGAGTAGCGCCGCCCACGAAGAAA